AGGAACAAAACCCGCTGAGGCTGAGCACAGAGCCACCGGTCCTGCGCCCCACACCCAGTGACCCCCGTCCCCCAGCCCAGCCCACCCCCGAGCCAGCAGGATCCTTCAGCAGCTTTTTATGAGACTTGCTTCTGAGTTTTACTCCTGAGCCTGGGACTTCCAGCTGACTTCTCTTCAGTTGTTGCAGGAGACAATCAAGAATGATTGTTTTCTTTCCTTTGTGTCTCTGCTCAGTTTTTAGAAGACAGAGCTTGAGACTCCAGGCCCGAGGCCCAGAGGAGGCGTTTCTAAGGCTTCTGTTGTCACTGAGGCATAAGGAGAGAAGACCTTCCCAATAAGTCACTGAACTCGGGCCATCTTTGGCCCATTTATGTCTTTTAAAGATAAATATCGAGTCCTTTACAAAGTCTCTGGCAAAATTTTGTCTTTTGCAAAATAGGTAAAAATATGGGGCTCACTTCCAGTGAAAGTCTTTTTTCTCATTTCTTTTCAGAATGTTAAGCAGGGGTCAGTCAACTTCTATAAAGGGCCAAATGGTAACTATTCCTGCCCTCCCAGCTACACAGTCTCTGTTGCGATTGCTATGGTGAAAGTAGCCATAGACCACGCATTAATTCAAGAGCGCCACTGTGTTACAGTTACTCTTTATTGAACACTGAAGTTGCGATTTCAGGTGTCTTTAAGTGTTACTCTTTTCATGTTTTCCCCACCCATTTAAAAATATGAAAACCATCTTAGCTGGTGAATTTCATAAAAATAGTCAAAGAAGGACTTCCGCTCTAGGCGAGGCCAGCACAGCAGGTCTTGACTGGAATTGTCACCTCCTGCTTTCCTCCACCCAATAATTAAATCAGAAAATTCAATTTCAGTTGTCGAAAATGAAAACGTTAAACCCTGGGGGACAAAACAATCTGGCAAATACTGGAGTCCAGCTCTTCCGACATTCTTATTTAAGGCAATCTCAGTAGCCTGCACGATCCAGGGACGGCCATTCGCCTGGGGTCGATAAGACATAACGGTGACAGCTCAGATAAGGCTTCCAAATACAAATGCTCACCACTCAAGCGGAGACTGAATCAGAACTGTTGTCAGCAAGAATGGTGTCTGTCAGTCCATGTGTTGCTAAAACCAGCACAGAGCTGATTGTTGAAGCAGATGTTTGAAATGAAATTGTAAGCACTTAGAGCCATTTGGGGAGGGAGTCTAACCCAAGAAGCTCTCTGGGTATCAGCCTGCAAAATCAATATGAATTCTTGAAATGAATTTTGAATGTTTCCTGAGCCCTTGGCTGGGCGTGACCTTGGGCCAAGGATGTCAAGTAGATCGGACTGTGGTACAACTCTCTTTACAAGGGGTACGTGTGTCTCATTCTATGTGTTTGTTCCAGTTTTCCGGATGTAAGTTTAAGCAATGAGGTCATGCAAATTTCTTCTGAATGTTTTATACCCAAGATGATATGGTGACCCTCCTTTCAGAAAATCACTATTTTCCTATAAAATGCATTCTTTCTATAAAACTAACTTGTGGTGATGACGTGGGATCAAGCCTTTATTTCATATTCCTACTGTTAAGCTAATTTGAGATGTAAGGAAAAAAAAGGGGGGATCTTCTACGAAGATAATTCTGTAATAAGATCATCTGAAAGACATGAATATCTAGAGGCACTCAGATTTTGATAACAAGAACACAATAAAAATCTGTATTTGCCAGGTTTTCCAAGAAAAACTCTCAAAATCCAACCTCAGATGAATAGCCGGACTCCAGAAGCTAAAGAACAACGCCTTGGTGACAAATACACAAGGACAGCCCTTTCCCAAGGAAACTCTCCCTCAACCACTGTGCACTCCCCTTGGCTCTACCTCCTTTAGTGACAGAAACTCTGCTTAAGGAATTTAAGGCCTAACAACCACTAGTACCTGTAGCCGAAAAGGCTCATTGGAAACAGGATGGATTTCTGTCCACTCAGATGAGCTTTGGAGACACCGAGCATGCCCTCTCCTCGCCCTGTGCCTGGAACTTACTCCCCAGCTCTGTGAAACTATACTCAGGGCAGAGGGACTCCGCAGGCTCCCCTCTGCAAATACAGACCCTCTTTGTTCTCTCCATCCTTGCCCGCCCACCATCCAAACAAAAAGAGGGCACAACTCTCCCATCAGGTATCCTTCCTGAATTTCCAATTTGGGGTGAGCTGAGTTTTGATTTTATTACAAGTAAAAGCAGTTTCCTTCTCCAAGAGAAGAACAGAGGTGGTGGCTCCTTGCACAGAGCATGCTTTTTTTAGGAAAGTCAAGCCCAGGCGCGCGATGAACGGGAAAAGCAGTGACTTGGAAGCATGCTCTATTGGGGAGACTGAGAGGGTGTGCAAGATAAATAGAGAACAGATGGTCAGATAATTGGGAAGTTAGGGTCTATTAACTGGGGAGATTGTCAAGGCTAAAAGCTGGGGTAGCCAGGTAAGGCGACCGGAGGAGACATTCATGTTACCTAGGATATTCCTTCGCTGTGGACTTTAGAGTGCATTGGTCCAGGACTCAGTAAGGGCCCCATCTCAGGAGTTGGTTCTCCCATGATTTCAGAGACTAAATATTCCAGATGAATTAGACCCTAAGCTGAAATGCCAGCAACCTAAGGAAAGTTTGGATGCTTTCCTTCCCTATTTAGAGGGTAGGTGGAACATACATTGCATGAGTCTTTTGTTGAGTAGGGGTGAGCACTAGCCATATTGATATGATCGCTTAAGAAATATGATCGACTGGATATTCAACTTTTCAAACTTTTCCCACTCATATAATTGATACAGAAAAAATGATGTAGAACCTCCCAAATGTCTCTGTAATTCATCATCTGTTGATACCAGAAATACGGTGTAAAAAATAGGGGCTTAAACCTAACAAGTAGAAGCACTAAACTGTAACCCTTGAACTGGGAGGATGGTTAATAGTGTTAATGTCCATGACACATCTCAGAAATGGAAAGAAAATCTGGGTTCTGAATAACTAGGAGCAAGCATTAGGTGGAAAGAATCAGATGAAACACCCGACCTTTTACTACACCTGATGGATCTACATTAAACATCTGGACTTTGTACAAATACAGATACAGAGACTGGAAGTTCTCTGCCAAGACTAGATGGTCTCTGCAACTAGCAAAAAGCCTCTGATTAGGGATATTGAAAGTTAAGCAGGGCCCCAAGTCAGGAGACACAAGAAAAAATGATTGTCGAAACACCAAAGTGAAGAAGAGGAAAGATACCAACAAATTATATTCAGAGTCTCTTTCCTGGCATCTTAACCACCAACCTGGTAGACTAAACACTATACGGACTTGTAGGGAGGAAGAAATTTTTTCTACCCTTTTAGGTTCTCCCAGCTGGTCTCATAATCAAATCAACCTGAGACAGATAAACGAGAAGATGACCACATTTAATTACTTATGTACGTACGGGAACCCCACATACACGGGAGCGTCAGAGACCCCACACATGAGAGGTTCAAAGGTGGAAGGGAAAATAAGGTTCTGTACTAAGGAGGAGGTAAGGTGCCTTGAGGCTTCAGAGGGGAGGAAGGTCATCTGAAGGACAATGTTCAGTAACAAGTTTGCCCTGCCCTATAGATAGGTCATAAAAAGTTATGCCTGGTACTCTTATTATGAGCAAGGACCTCAATTTATATTTTTGGAGGGAAGAGGTAAAAGCTTCTCTTGAGCCCCAGAGTCTCAATTGCCTTTAGCTGGAAATAACCCACATACCAAAGTAGCGTATCTTGGGGTGACCTGTTCTGAACCCCTTTAGACTACATTATATTAAAACATGTACGTATATAGAGAATCTATCTACTTGTCATTATACAGCTTATCTCTTACCTATTGCTTATTCAAAGACAGCTTTTCTGATTTGAAGATGAAGGTTGAGAACTGAAACCACCAACCCTTACCCACAGCTTGGTCATTCAGGAATTAAATTTTCTAGTCCCCTTACTCCATGTAGAGGTTTATCTTGACTTTACTATTCCAGTGTCTTCATTGGTGTTACTTTCATAGGACCCATCCAGACTTCAATGGAAATCACCAACACACACTTTGCATCCTAAGATTCTCTGAATGTCTTGCCTCAAAAAACCTTGTCTTACTATTTTCAGCAATCCTGGACTATTGGTATCTTAATCCTCATATAATTCTCATCAAGCTCTCTTGCCCTGAGAGACCCATCTTGAAATAAACTTTGAATTCTCAGTTAATTCTGACTTTGTTTGCCTACCAAGACATGACACAAGTTTGTGGAGGTTGTGTTCTCCATGAACATGGTACGCTATACACTTACCTTTGTCTTAACCACAGGTGGTTTGGGGATATTTGAGGCACCAGCACCAGCAAGGTCTTTTTTAGTTGTTCTGCGTAGAGCAAAATTACACTTCTAGCTTCAAGAGCACTTATAGATGACCAATTTGTGTTGGCATCTTTAAGAGATAAATTACTCTTAACTTCTCCCTGCACACTTACAAGGCAGCTTCATTATAATCTTGAGAAATATATAATGGTCTCAGTAACTTTGGTAGAGAAACTTTCAATAATGTATATGGCACATGGTGTATTTATTACTTTTGTTGGCACAGCGTGACCAGGATGACCTTCTTTCTTGCCCTCATGTTCCTTTATTACTAGGACTCTCTTTTATTTCTGACCCTCTCCAGAGTCACTGTTGGGTGAGTAATTGAGATCACTTGATACCACAGGATATGTACTGTTTCTAAATTCTTTCCTTAATGGACTTTGAACAGCATGTTCTGTTCAAGTGACCCTGCTTTGGACAGGAAACCTCGTGTGCATTGACCCAGTGTTTATCTAGTCACCCAATGTTAAGGGAAGGACCAAGTTGGAGTCTTTTTTTGTATTTCTCCTTGGCATGGAATGGAAGCCCTCGAGAAATAATGGCTTACACTAGAGCAGAAGTCTGCAAACTTTTCCTATAAAAGTGCTAATATTAAATATTTTATGCTTTGCAGGCGATATGGTTTTACCTCTGCCGTAATAGTGCAAAAGCCGCCATGGACAACATGGAAACAAATGGGCATGGCTGTCCCAGCAAAGCTTCACTGGCCTGTAGATCCAGCCCCTGGATCGGCGTATGAACCGGGATTAGAGGTGAGTTTGTAACTTTAGTTTTCTACTTGTCAGCTGTGTGACCCCGGGCAAATCCCTTAACCTTTGAACTCTAATTTCCTGCCTTATAAGATGGGGAATCACACTACCTGCCTCAACCGACTGTTGGGAAGCGTAGGAAGGTACATGCGAATCACTTAGCTGAGTGTCTGGGGTGTTTTAAGTGCTAAGGAAATATTAAGTATTATCAATCCTCTTGATGTTATATCATTGATTACTTACGTAGTTTACATACGTTTAACCATTTTCTTCATCAGTATGTAGGTTTTGTCTTTTAAGGAACTTAGTTCCAAGTGTAAAATATCTGAGCAGCGTCCCTGATTTACTAGTTTTAGCATCGTTGTTGTCACCTTGTTGGGGTTCTGGTTGGCTGATAAATAACACTTTTTTCTCCACCCTCTACCCCCAATCTTCCCACCGAGGATTGAGATTCAAGTGTCAGACTTAGATTGCTAATCAGAATATCAGCTTGATGGTTGATAAAACTGAGGAATTTGGTTTAATCCGTGGCCCCCAAAGCTTCCTAATACCCTCCTGCATTAGGTTGCTGTACCCACCCAGTCACAGGCAGTGTTGGACAACCACATGCCCCCCTTTGCGTGAGCCAAGCCTGCCCGCACAAGCTTTCCGCTTGGCAGCAAAGGGGACCAGAAGGCACGTGTCTTTCAATTAGGCTGGTCTGAGCTGGACGAGCCAGTCACCTTCTCTCATGTACCCGAATAAGGTAAACAGGAGTCGGAGAGGGGCCAGGAGTGTTACTGTCGCTGAGCCTCTCTCCCAGGGAATGCAGAACTATGGAAATGGGATTTCTGTTAACACATAGGACCAAGTCGACCTTGTGCCGTGAAGTGTGCAAGGTGCTTCACTGATTAGCCTATGAGATCTTTATAACAACTCTGAGACAGCACTGGGAATAAATGAGAGGGAAAGGGGGGAGGGAGGGAGGGAGAAAAGGTGTGATCCCCAAGATCTTCCAGGAAAAAAATGGCAGGGCCAGGATTCAAATCCGTGTCCTGCCTCCATAGCTCAGGGAGTTCTTTCTAGCAAACCTGGGCCATCTGATCTGAAAAGAAAACAGACTGACTACAAGCCCAGAGCAGAGCACTACTGCAGATGAGTTGCTTGGACTCGTGTCTGGAAGCTCTTACTACTGTATAACTGTTGTTGTTTTCGAGATGGTTGAAAGGCTTACGCTTAATAAACCCCCTCTTAGATTTTCCTGCAATCTATGTCTGCCACTTAAAAAAATCAAGACAATATATTTCTGATTAAAAACAGAAAACGGAGCACTATAGAGCTTCCTGCAATCCTCTGGCTTCTCCCCCTTTCTTTAGACCAAAAAGCGGTGCTGAGATTCCATCTACAAATTCCTTCAGCTTCTGAGGATGTAATTTGCTTGGTGTTAGGGACTTAAATTCACTTAAAGCAGCTGTGCGCCCTTTATACTATCTTCTCTACTATCTTGGGCTATAATTCCTTCTTCTAAATTGGACCTTTCAAACTTGAAGGGGACCAAATAGAAATATTTTAGTGTTTTGTCACCTGTTAACATGAGAGTTTTTAAGTGGTAGACCTACGCCACCATTTTCTCTTGCCCCAAACAGTTGAAAAATCCTTTTCTGTCATCTTTAATGTCTTTCGATACCCCGATTCACTTAGCTTTCTACCTTCCTGACTGTTCTTAGAGGTTCTTTTTAGTCTTTTACATTCACCGGCCGGTTTTGAACATCACATCCTGGAATTGGTGCACCTGTAATTCTGCACCGGGCCATATACACTGTTTGACTCGGTGTCAGTCGGTGGTGTTTGCATCGAAGGGCACTTGGAATCAAATGGGTAGTTCCCATAAAAAATGAGTTGGGTTTCCTGACATTTTGATAAAATGCTGTTTCTTTAAATAGCCTTACATTCGGATGTTCTATCAAAACAACCAACGAGGCTGCCCGAGGGATCTGTTTTTATGCTTTTAATTCGGTCGCTTTCCCCTAAGCCTTCCAAAGTGAAATCTGTTGTTTTCGCTAATAGGCTAATGTTAGTTGTGTCAGAGAGCAGTTATGGAAATGTTGGTGCGTTTCGGGGACCTGGGTTCCGATCGCCCCGCACGCGGCGTCGATGCTCCCGCCGCCGGGACGGGGCTGGCTCTTCCACGCGGGTGATGGATGGTGCTGTCTGAGCGGCTGACACGCTCTCCCGCGTTACCCATTGTGACTAATCGCGCGCATTTGCAAGATGATTAGCCAAGGTTAGGGGTACAGTCTGTGATTATGAAACCAATTTTTTTCTTTATGTGAAAAATTACTAGCTTACAATAGCATTGAATTATAATTTTGCTCCATATCGTAACCAGTGGTAGGTTTTTAATAGCAATTCATATTCCTAGGGCTATTTATGTGTTGTTTGCGACGTACTTCTTGACTAGAGTCCTGTCCCATCCTCATTTTTCTCCCATCTAATGTTTATAGCTTCTAATATACCAATTTTACTACTAAAGAACCAGAAGTTCATTTATTTATTCGACAAATTGAGTGCTTACTATGTATTAAGTTCTGTCCTATCGCTGGGGATAGAGCCGAGGATAAATCAGCCCCCCTTCCCGGAGCTTTTACTGTAGTGAGGGAGAGGGAGAGGGAGAGTATGTAAGTCTAGGAGTAATGACACAGGGAAGATGCTGTAAGGGGGGGAGCGGATGAAGTATGGAAGGAGGATAGTGCCCGGGAGGGAAGTCGTTGCTGCTTTATAAGGCTTCACTGGGAGAGACAATGGAGCAGAGACTACAAGGCGTGAAGGAGCCATGAGGCCATCTGGAGGAAGGCCTTCCAAGCGGATGACACAGCAGTGCTCTGGGAAAGGCCGCATGCTTGTATGTTCAAAAACAGCCGGCAGGCCAGTGCGGCTCAAAGACATGAGAGAAAGACTCACAGGAGGTGAAGTCAGGGAGCTAAGAAGGGGCCTGATCAGGTGGGACCGCATTGCCTGCTGTAGGGTTTTGGGTTTTGTTCCAGGTGAGACTGGAAGCCATTGGGTGGTTTTAATGAGAGGAATGCCTTGATGTGGCTTCTCCAACAGTCATTTTGGCTGTTATTTCAGAATAGACCTTAGTGAGATATGTTAGTTATCTATTGCTTTGTTATAAATTGCCTCAAAATACCAACTTCTAACAACACACGTTTTTTATCACATAGTATCTCTGGGTCAGGAATTTGGGCATGACATAGCTGGGGCCTCTGCTTTAGGGCCTCACAATGCTGCAGTCAAGGTATTGGCTGGGGCCTCAATGATCTCAAGGAAGGCTAGGGCAGGATCTGCGTCTAAACTCGGTGGTTGAAACTTTTTGTAAGGTAGGAATAATTTTTGCTCTTTTCAGTATGAATGAATTAGACTGAATGAGAGTGATAAGTATATTACATACTTTACACCAATGACAATTTAAAATTGGTTAAATATAGCATCAGCACTAACTGTAAGAAGTAGCTAATACGTTTGTTTGCTGGAGTCTACATCTTAGAAAGCACTCAGCATTTGGGGCAGGCGAATGAAGACATTCTGTAGGCCTCGAGGTAGTTCTTTTCATTTTTCTTGCCTTTGACGAACTGCAGGTAGATCATTGCTACTTGTTTTGTTCTAATCTGTACAGAGGCTAACCCCCCATATAACTGACACTAGCATCTATTGAGTGTTTCAAGTCATTTCTTTTCACCAACTAATTTTTAGGAATGGAAATGACTGAGATACTTTTGAAGTTGTTGTAATCTTTCTTAGGTTAATCTATCCAGTACTACTCTAAATATATATGTTCCCAGAAAGTGATTATAATAATGATATGTTTTTTAATTTGTTAATGGCAAAGAAATTTTCCTTAAGAAGAAGTCTGATGTGCATTACTTTAAATATGGCCCCAAAAAGCGGTTGTGCAAAATGCATGTGTATTAATTAAGCAAGGAGTAGGAAGAAAATTTGCGGTGTGTAAATTTCTGGACCAAATACATAAAGTATAATCAGTTTTTTCTTGCACAGTTTCTTTGACATTTGTAGTTGCCTCCCCAGTACCCATCCCTTCTCAACAGACCCTGACTTTGATTTGGGTTTTAGGTGGTTTTAGGAAAGATAATAACCGCATCCACTAGCTCTAGGAACAGAGCCCAGGACCTAAACAAAGCCAACTGGAAAAACATTCTCCTCAAGCTGAGATTGGCTCAGGAATTGGCATGTGACCACAGCTCGTAGCACCAGAGCGAGGAGACTCTGGGAAAGCCAAGTCTTTCTTTTGCTTTGGGTGGGATGACCCACTGATATGAGGTCTACAACCTCTGGAAGTCCTTTTCTTTGTGTCAATAAAGCCTTCTCGTGGATAAGAAGGTCACACAGAGCAAGAAAGGCCGAGAGAATCACAGGAAGACTGAGATATTACATTGTAATCAAACCGTGCCTAACGCCTGCCCCACTTCTTGGCCTGTCATCTAGGATCGTCGGTAGATTTTCTTTATTACTTTAGTTGCTTTGTGTTGAGAGTTTTCTTTTACTTGAAAAACATTTTGATAAATTCATATTAATGTGTGGCAGAGTGGATAAGACTCTTTGATTATGAGAAATATGTTTTGGTAATTATGCTTGAGTACAAATGTGTTTGATCCATAGCATTGAAAGATAAATAATAAAATTACATTAGAAAGTCTCAACTGCATAGACTACACAGTCAGGCCTGCTCCCCAGACTCTCGTTCATTGTCCATTATTGCTTCTTTGTTGGGAGAAACCACCCAGCTCAAGAGGAGGGGGTTTCAGAGTTGGCCTGATTTTATTGTGTAGGGTATGTGATAACCTGGATGCATCTACAGCCGTACCAGGAGCTCTAGTGAGCTGGGAAAGAGAGAGCTGAGCTGCCAAATGTCAGAGTAGCTGATTAAAGTAACAAGCCAAAAATAAAAGAGTTAAGTCTGTCATCATTTACTGAGATGGTGTAAAGAAGACGCTATAACTGGAGAAAATGCCACCTTCTCCTGTTTCATTTCTCCCCATGAAGTAGATCACTGCTCCAGGGTCAGGTGGCTCAAGTGCAGACATTGGGGTCATCTCGCTGTTGAGGGGACCCCCAACAAAAGGCTCTGGCATCTTTATGGACCTCAAGCGGGGTGGGGAAGTATGGGGGGAGGGCTAGGAATGGTCAAGTACTAGATCCTGAGAGTGGGGGGACACTGTCTTCAAGATTTTCCCCTTGGCCACATAAGAAGACCTTGGCAGAGGCGCCTGAGAGGGCCACGGCTGAGGCCTCAGATAAAGAATCGTAGTGTGTAGAGCTCAGACTAGGGATGCAGATGGGCATAGGAACATGAACAGTGACGGGGCCTGTGTCCTCCACCGCATCTCTCTTCGGAGACAGCAAGGCCCTGGCTGTGTCCCAAGTCTGGCGTTGGGAGGGCAACTTTACCTGGGAGGCCGTCTTTAAGGGCCTTGTCTCCAAATACAGTCTCATTCTGAGGTGCTGGGGATTAGGGCTTCAACATACAAATTTTGACAGGACACAGTTCAGCCCAACAGTATGATATAATTGTATAATATCTTACACAATTTCCAGTTTTTGAAAGTTTAATTGTATTTTATTTTGAAAAACTCTGCTTAGTATTTTGTTACATTCTTAATTGGCAAGTATGAATTTGTATGACTTTAAAATAATAGCTATTTGTTTATATACGGTGGCTTCAGAGTTCTGCATTTGGTTTATTTGTAATTAAATAAGAATAGGGCATATATATGTGTGTGTGTGTGTGTGTATATATATATATATATATATTTTATACACACACACAATCTTTAAAGAACACATAGTGAAAAAAAGTATAGTGAAATGTGGGGATTTGTACACTTCCAAATGGGTGGAATTGCTTGGTAACATGGTATAAATCTATATTTAAATTTTGAGGAATGATAAACTGCACCATTTTGCATTCCCACCAGCAAGGTATGAGAGCTGCAATTTCTTTACATTATCCCCAACTTGTGTTACTGTCTTTCTTTTTTATTATGGCCACCCTAGTGGGTATGAGACGGTATCTCATGGTGGTTTTTGTTTGCATTTCCCTAGTGGCTAATGATGTTGGCCATCTTTTCATATGCTGATTGGCCACATGAATCTATTTGGAAAAATGCCTGTTCAGATCCTTTGCTCATTTTTAATTTAGGTTACTTATCTTTTATATAGTAAAAGTTATAAGAGCTCTTTATGAGATACTTTATAAGTCTTTTGTCAGATATATGGTTTGCAAATATTTTCTCTTATTTTATGTGTTGTCTTTTACTTTTTTGATATAATGTGTATAGCACAAAAGTTAAAAATTTTGATAAAGTCTATGTGATCAACTTAATGGGGCCATGGCGGGGGTGCCTAGATATTTGATCAGACATTACTCTGGTGTGTCTGTTTGGGTGTTTTTGGATGACATTAACGTTTGTATCAGTGGACTGAGTAAAGCAGATTGCTCTCCCTAATGTGGGTGGCCCTTGTCTAATCAGTTGAAAACATGGATAGAACATAAAGGCTGACCCTCCCTTGAGTTAGAGGAACTCCTTCTGCCTGATTGCTTGAGCTGGAACATTAGTCTTTTCTTGCCTTTNCTCCCTAATGTGGGTGGCCCTTGTCTAATCAGTTGAAAACATGGATAGAACATAAAGGCTGACCCTCCCTTCTGCCTGATTGCTTGAGCTGGAACATTAGTCTTTTCTTGCCTTTGGAACTTGAACAAAATAGCAACTCTTCTGGGGTCTCAAGCCTGCTGGCTATGGGACTGGAACTCACATCACTGGCTTTCCTGGGCTCTTCAGTTCACTGACTGTAGATCTTGGGACGTCTCAGTCTTCATAATTGTATTAGTCATTTCCTCTCTCTTTCTACATATGTCTTTCTATATATGTATAGAAATTGCTTTCNGACGTCTCAGTCTTCATAATTGTATTAGTCATTTCCTCTCTCTTTCTACATATGTATAGAAATTGCTTTCTATATATATATATACATCCTGTTTGATTTGTTTCTCTAGAGAACCCTGACTAATACCGTCTCATTTATTTATTTATTGCTTATAGTTTTGCTGTCATATCTAAGAAGGCTTTTCCTAGCCCAAGGTCATGAAGCTTTACTCCTATGTTATCTTCTAAGACTTCTATAGTATTAGCTCTTAAATTTAGAGTTACCATTTAGAGTGGAACATTTTGAGTTAATTTTTGTATATGCTATGAGGAATGGTTCCAACTTCATGCTTTAACATGTGTCTATCCAGTTGTATATAAGACTATTCTATTCACTGCCCATTGAATTGTCTCACCACACTGTTCAAATGTTATTGATATGTATGGGTGTTTATTTCTGGACTCTAATGTACGCCTATAACCTATATGTTCATTGTTACCATAACAAATTGTTTCGATCACTGTTGTTTTATAATAAGTTTTAAAAGCAGGAAGTGTGAGTATGATCATTCAGTCTTCCATCATTAAGTATGGTGTTAGCTGTGGCTTTATTGTAGGTGTCCTTTATTGAGTTGAGGCATTTTCCGTCTATTCTTAGTTTATTGATTATTTTCATCATGAGAAATTGTTGTTTTTTGTCATGGAGATGATCATGTGGTTTTTCTCCTTTATGCTATTGATATCATGTGTTACAATAACTGATTTTTTGGATGTTATATCAACCTTGCATTCTGGAAAAGTCTTATTTTAAAATGCTGACCTTTCTGACACAATGATGCTAAAGTTTATCAGTAATACCAATGACCATTTTAATGTAACAGTCAACTTCTGCTCTCATTTTGTTTTTTCATCCTTGGTAGCAATGAGTCTTCAACCCAAATGAAAACATGATCAGAATTTGAAACCCCGAAGTTAAAAATAAAATAACATGAAAGTTAGCTACTATATTAGTTTGCTATTGCTGCTGTAACAAAGGTACCACAAACTGAGTGGCTTAAACAACAGAAATGTATTGTCTCACTGTTCTGGAGGCTACAATTCTAAAATCAAGGTGGTTGGCAGGGTTTGGTTCTCCTGTGAACTTAGAGGAAGAATCAGCTCCACATTGGTACCCTAGCTTCTGGTGGCTCTCTGGAAATCTCTGGTGTGCTTCAGCTTATATATGCACCACCTTGATGTCACTTGGAATACTTAACTGTATGCATGTGTCTGTCTCCAAATGTCCCCTTTTTATAAGGAGACCAGTTACATTAGACTGGGGCCCACTCTAATGACTTCATTTAACTTGATCACCTCTGTAAAGACCCTACCTTCAGATAAGGTCACAATCTGAGGTACAGGTTAGGACTTCAAGGTAGGACTGGGGATGGGAGACCATTGAACCCATAACAGCTGCTTGTTTTCTAAAGCCTTCAGGTAGAGCCTTAAAATAGACTTTAAAGTAATAAACTTGAAAATGGCATCTCCATAATTGCAGTATTCTTATTCATGAAATAAGGTTGAAATATAACTAATTCTCACTTATTTGACTTATCTTGTGTGATGCTAGAAAAATTCTAGATTAGACCTAACTCTCATATATTCCAAAACCCATTATTTTCTGCCATGGCCGGGACAGAAATTTCTACAACAGTAAAGCCTTTAATTATGAAATTCTAGGATGTCAGGTGTAGTAGCTGTGACTTAATTAAGCAAGCTTTTTTGACATTAGGAAAGGAAAGGACAAACAGGACAAAAAGAAAGTGGAAAAGCAGAAGTTAAGGAGAAGTAATAATTGCAGCAGACAGAGGAGAGAAACAAGAGGAAGAGACAGTAATTCCGATAGATTAATTCTTCCCTGGTGATTTGACTGTCAGAGACAAATGATGTAGAATTGCCGTAGATTTTAAAATCAGATTCAAACAAAACTCTAATATGTCTGTGTTCTGCATGGATAAGGCTTTTAAGATGATATATATGTTTTTTTCTTTTTTAGCTTTTAGGTTGTTACCAGAAAAGAGTCAAATCCTTCGCATCTGTTTCCAAGATGGACATATTTAACTACTCTGACATTAACCTAAATGTTTTACCTTCTTCCCCCTTTAAGCAAGTTGTATTCGAGCTTTCCTCAAGTAGATATCTAAGTTTATCAATAAAAACATAACCTAAGTAAACACCAAATAATTATTAAGTCAATTTGGTTGGAAATTGGAAAAGTAGGGCAGTAAGTTAATATTCTAATTATGGACAATTACGAGAGAACTCCATTGTTCCAGTCATGTGTATGTAAACTAATTATGTGAGCTAATCTGCTAAATAAGATGAATTGTCATTTGCAGAACATTAATTTAAATGATCGTCCAAAGCATGACATTCTACAAAGAGTCGACTTCTTTATATAAGTCTTTTAAGATGAAAATGTGTTAGACTATGTAAATTTACTTAATTTTAGAATCGTAGCTACTAGCTACTGGAAATGACTTTGAAATAATATATTCCCATACTTTACTTTTAATACATGCATTGAGTTGGGTTTTTTTCTTGTCATTTTTGGGCAGTTGGCATTACTGTTCATAATAGGAAAGCATACATTTATTTAAAAGAATGTCTCTATTGAAAATGACATATTCAGAGTTCACCAAGCTCAAGGTGCTAAGCTCAGCCTGGAAGGCATGCATATTTTGGGAATGTATAAATGAGTAATTTGCAAAACAATGGGTAAAGCTAAGATATGTATAATACATACTTTAAAAAATGTATAAACAATTAAGGTTGTCCCTTAAAATATCCCTCATACCTCACAGATTTTTAGAAAATAAAATTTGAAGCTTTAGGGCAGTAACTCAGGGTAATAATAGGTTCAGCACCTTACTGAAATTTTTTAAGCCTACAATGTGACTCAGATTTTCATGCAATAAATCTTGTAGACCATTAAATTATTTTTCCCCTTCTCATAGGCATGTAAGAGTGTCCAGGTAGAAACTGCTTCTTGTTGGAAGATGAAGGATGAAGGAAGACATAGAGTGCTAGGTATGTATTAGCTAATTATTTTCCATCTTCACAAAAACATAACTATGTACATAGAGCAGGATGCTTTTCTAGGTCATAGGTTCTGAAGGATTCCCAATTCGCTTTAAATTATTAGTGCATGTATAGTATGCTCATGATCTTACCCTTTATATAACTGAAATTTACTCTAACATTTACATCTGAATAAATGTATGGTGTTCAGGTGTTTGTTTTTCACTGATTTGTGCGTTTGTGTTAGCTAACTGATTTACTCTGGTATCAGGAAACCAGCTTTCTGAGGTGAGTTTTCCATCTGAAGATTTAGGGACTGTTTGTTATGGACTGAGTTGTGTTCCTAAATTCATAACCCCCAGTGTGACTGCATTTGGAGATAGCACCTTTAAAGAGATGATATGGGTAAAATGAGATTATAAAAGCGGGGCCCTGATCCAATATAACTGTTCTTCTCATAAGGAGAGAAAGAGACCCCAGTTACACATATGCACAGAGCAGAAGCTATATGAGGACATGGTCAGAAGATGATTATTTGCAAGCTAAGGAGAGGCCTCAGAAGAAACCAAACCTGCAGANCACATATGCACAGAGCAGAAGCTATATGAGGACATGGTCAGAAGATGATTATTTGCAAGCTAAGGAGAGGCCTCAGAAGAAACCAAAGCTGCAGACACTTTGATCTTGAACTCCTAGCCTCCTCCAGAATTGCGAGAAGGCACCCTGTTGTTGAAGGCACCCTCAGTGTTCTGTTATGGCAGCCTTAGCAAACTAATACAGATACTTTTCAGAAAGTGACTATAATGTCGNATTATTTGCAAGCTAAGGAGAGGCCTCAGAAGAAACCAAACCTGCAGACACTTTGATCTTGAACTCCTAGCCTCCTCCAGAATTGCGAGAAGGCACCTGGTTAGAGACATAGGCTCTAGAGGACTTACTGCCTGGGTGAAAAGCCCACTTCGCTTCTTAGCTGTGTGGACTCATCCATGCCTAACCTGCCTGCTCTTCCTTCGTGTGCTGGAAGGGGAGTGCAATGGTAGTGTCTGTCTCGTGTGGAGCTGTACAAGGATGTGTGTGTGTGCGTGTGTATGAAAATATTTCCTGGCACATAGTAAGCCCCATGCAAGTGTTCGCTCTTTTATTTCTTCTTTTTCTCCTATTCTTCCCACTCTTTCACTTTTGTAAGGAACAGAAAAGTACACAAATAAGCTCAAGTAAAACTGGGAGTTATTGTGAAAGCACAGATGTCATGGATTTAAAAAATTCGATCAGTATCCAGGGAGAGACTCTAAGGAAAATGGCCGTTCGCCATAGGTCTTGCTCAATCTATAAATCAACCTAGAATTTTCCTATTAGAGCTTTAAAAAAGGCACTGAAAGGCCAAAACAAAGCCCAGTTCTCGTTAAAGAAGACAGCCAAGTTCATACACTCAAAAACATAACATTCAAGAGGTCCAGTACACTATTAAAAATTACTAGACATTCCAGGAAGCAAGAAAATGTAATTCATAAAGAAGTTAAAAAATCCCTCAATAGCAACAAACACAGATATGACAGAGATGATTGAACTAACAGACATTAATATTGGTCTTGCTCAGATTAAGATTAAGATTACTTGAAGTTAGGTTGTATTAGAGACTATTATTCTAAACTCTATAGCAACCATTAAAAAATCAAAGAGATATTAGTGGAGATAAATGGAATAGTAAAATACAATTAATTTCAAATGAAGTAAGAAAAAAATAGAATAAAATTAGTAAAAACAGATGAACAAAAGAAAAAAAAACACAAATAACAAAGATGCACATACCAGCCAAACCACATCAATACCTACATTAAGTATAAGTGTTCATTACATCTCAATGAAAAGATATTGTCAGACTAGATAAAAATTATATGATGTCTATAAGAAGCTCAGTTTACATGTAAAGATACAGATAAATTTAAAGGAAAAAGATTAAAAAAGATATGCCAGGCAAAACTAAGATTAGTAAGAAGCAGCAGCTATGTTAATATCACATAAAATAGACTTCAAAACAAGTAATATTAGGTATTATCAGGGATAAAGAGTTAGGTTTTATAATGATAATAAAAGGATTCTTACATCAAAACANAGCAGCTATGTTAATATCACATAAAATAGACTTCAAAACAAGTAATATTATCAGGTATTATCAGGGATAAAGAGTTAGGTTTTATAATGATAATAAAAGTATTCTTACATCAAAACGACATAAAATCCTCAATAAGTATATATCAATAACAGAGTGTTAAAGTACGTGCAGCAAAAACTGTCAGAAATGACAGGAAAAATAGACAAATTCACAGTTATATTTGGAGGTTTCAGCTCTCTGCTCCCACTAACTGATAGAGCAAGTAGAAAGTTGGTAAAGATACAGAAGAGAAACTATCACCCACTGTTACCCACATTAACCTAATGAGCATTTATGGAAGATGATATCCAAAAAAATAAAAACACATTATTTTTAAGTGCACGCAAACATTCTCGAAAATGGATCACAAGTGTCGATGTATTTTAATGAATTCAAACCATACACTGAAGTATAAGTCAAAATATATATTTAGCCTGTGGCCTGGTTTTTGGCACATAGCTCCTAAAACCTTTGGAATCTCAGAGCATTAGAAGAGTCCTTTTGTGCATTCATGAGATGTCTGCTGGCGGGGGCTCCTAGATAGCTTCAGGGTGGGTGCCAGTCACCAGAAAGACCAAGGCATGGCTGGACAGAACGTTCATCTCTGCTCCCCAAACCTCTGGGAAGGGGACGGGGTGGGAGATCGAGTTCCTCACCATCAGTTAGTGATTATATCAACCATGTCGACATAAGGAAACCTCCATTAAAAATGAACAGCCCGAAATGTTGGGGTTGAGACCTTCTGTGTCCCTGAGCACACGGAGGTACCAGGAGGGTGGTCCCCCCAGAGGGGCATGTAAGCTCTGCACCCCTTCTGCCCAAACCTAGCTCCATGCATTTTTTCCGTTTGGCTGTTTCTGAGGTGTATTCTTTATAATAATCTGGTAATAGTAAGTAAATTGTTTCTCTGAGTTTTCTGAGAAATTATAGCAAAGTGTTGAGCCTGAGGAGGGGGTGCGGCAACCTCTGACGCAGAGCAGGTCAGTGAGAAGTCCAGGGGCATTTGTGACTGGCATCTGAAGTGGCAGAGGCCATGCGGGACGCAGCCCTTCGCCTGCGGGGGCTGCACTAACTCTGGATAGTCAGTGTCAGAACTGAACCGAATGGTAGGACCTCCAGTGGGTATCTGAAGAGTCGGAGAGCTGGTTGGTCTGGGGGGGAAACCCACAGACATTTGGTGTCGGAAGCGTGAGTAACAGTTCATGCGTAATATTTTCTCTGACCGCAACAAAATTAAATTGGAAGCCAATTATAGAAGATATCTGGAAAATCCCCAAGTATGTGGAAATTCAACCTATGAGTCAAAGAGTAAATTATAGAGAAATTAGAAAATATATTGAATGGAATGAAAAAGGAAATAAAAGGATACCAAAATTTGTGGGATTATAGGTAACTCAGCATTCACAATGTCTTGTCTAGTTACTAGGAAAACAGAAAGTTTTAAAATCATCAGTTTAAGCTTTTACCATAATAACCTAGAGAAAAAAAGAACAAATTAAATCAAAAGTAAGGAGAAAAAAAATACTAAAGAATAAAAATCAATGAAAAAATTAAAAAACCCAATGAAGCCAAAAGTTGGTTATTTGGGGGGAAAAAAAACAAAACCGTGATAACACTGATATACTTCTAGCTAGACTGGTTAAGAAAAAAAGAGAAACAATCCAAAACATCATTATAAGGATACAGACATTGAAACAATAATAAAGGAATATTATGACTAACTTTATGCCAATAGACTAAACAACCATGACAAATGGACAGATTCCTTGAATACATATTACCAAAACCGATTCAAAAAGAACAGAACATTTACTTGAGTTGAATTTATAATTAAATATCTTTATATGATTATATGATTTAGTATCATATCCTATCATCACACAATACCTTGTAATTAACTACCTCTCCAAAAATGAATCAATCCCCAGACTCTGATTTCTTCACCGGTAGATTCCATCAGACGTTTCAGAAGTAAGCAGTTTCAGCCTTGCACGGAAACCTTTGATGAGAGAGGGCGGGGGAGCACTTCTCAGCTCTCGTTTTGGGTTCAGCAACCCCGTGATACCAAAACCACACAAAGTAGTCACAGGAAAGAAGAAAACTGCATTCCAGCCTCTATCATGAGCAAAGACAGAATTTTTTTTAAATATTAGTAAATTGAATCTAGGAATATATAAAAGTATTACATAACATGACCCAAAAATGCCTGGTTGATTTAATATTTAAAAAAGAAATCAATATATCATATTAACAAAATTAAAGAAAAATACTGCAGAGTCATGTTATTAGATGTAGAAAAAAAATTATGAAATACCATTTTATGATAAAAATAACTCAGCAAATTTGAAATGGAAGTGACGTTCCTCAGCCTGATAGAAGACATCTACAACAAAACCTACTGACATACTGACATCATTAATGGTAAAAAACAAACAAACAACAAAAACAAAAAAACAAACATAAAAAACATATACACTATATCTTAAGATTGGGAATAACATAAGAATATACACTTACCATTTCAATTCAACATGGTACTGGAAGTATTAGTTTATGAAATAAGGAAAGAAAAATAAATTAAAAGCACATAAATTAGAAGAGAAATATGAGTCTCATGTCATTATCTTGAGATTATGATTAAATGGTAACTTGTAGATACAAAGTCCTAAGAAATCTACCAGAAAGCTTCTAGAGCTAATAAGTGATTTTAGTAAATTCTCATGATACAATTTAATTTACAAAAACCAGTTTTATCTTTATATGAGTAATAGAAGGAGACGACTTATGGTGGTGAATACACATACAATATACAGATAATGTATTATAGAATCGTACACCTGAAACCTATATAATTTTA